CCAAAGCTGAATCTAGAGGAAGCAGCAAGCTGGGCAGCAGCAAAACATCTTCCTGTTTATTTACAAGAAACATTTTGTTTTAAAAAACCCTCACTTCTTTCAGTTTCGATCCAAGTAACACTGCAATCACCAAACATTGTTAACCACAGTGCAGACAGGCTGGGCCACCCCAGCTACGCAGCAGGAGGAGGAAAAGATTGAAGAACAAACTATTTCAAGACTAGAATTTGCCTCAAACGTCTTCACCAGTGCTTGAATATGTTAAAGAAAACAAACCATAGTGAAGCTGATTGTTCATCTAACAGATGTCTCAGCCTTTAACTTCCACACATGGGTAACTTGTAGCTGGTGTCTCTAATTGTGAAATCATAAAGCATAGCAATGCAGAAACCTTCCTGAGCAAGGTCACGCTCGCAGCACTCGGGTACCAAACTGGCAGTGAAGTTAGTGACACCGGGGGAGGAGGAGAGGGGGACAAAGGATTCCAAAATGCCACCCAGAGAGGCTGTGTGCACACACCTGGGGAAGGCTGTGCTGCTGGGACACTACAGCCCCTCAGCACAGCACCCCATCCCCCAGGGCTGTGACCCACAGTGGGACACAGGTACAACGGGAACAAAGGTGTTAGAGGCAACAGCTGCACAGATTTTAACTCCCCCTCCCACAGCCAGCCAGGATCTCTGAAAAGCCCACCCTGTGGCTGCTGTGGGGGGCACTGATCCCTGCAGCAACCAGCACCTGGTGGCTGAGCCCCCAGCTGCTGCTGGCAGGAGAGAGAGGCTCAAAAAGCACAAGCCCCAAGAAACAGAACCAGCAAGAGCCCAACAGCTCCTATCTACCAGCACAAACCACTCCCAGGTGCAGCCCCAGGACCACACCTGGTCCATCCTTGCAGTTCCAAACCCTCATTTGCTGTTTATTCATCTCACATGCAAAGGAAGGGAAACACGGAGGGTGGTGTCACCCAAGAGTTAAGTGTGCAGCTATGGGCCAGGCAGCACTGGGCTGTGCCCTCTGAGAAGCATCCCGGGGTCAGCTCTCCCTGTGTGGCCCCAGGCAAGTTTGAAGGGAAGGAGCCACGGGGAGAGTGGGACTCCCTGGGAAAGGGAAACGCAGCTTGGAGCACCAGCTGTGCCAGACAGCCCAGCTGGAGGGTGGCCTGTACCACGATGCCAGTGCACGCCGTGGCCTCGGACTGGGAGAGCCACAGGCTCCAGGGCTGGGTCTGAGGAGCACAACTGGCTGCCCCCAAAAAAATAAACGGAGCAGCAGCCACGCCTACATTCAGGGGGGGAAAGTTCCCTCACATTCAAGAGTGTTTAATCATCTAGCTCAACACAAATCAGTAGTGCAGCAATATAAATACAACTGAGGACGTTAAAGCCTCTTGGCTTTCATAGCTCAAAAAGAAGAAAAGAAAAGCCAATGAAACAGGTTTCCAGTTTTTAAATTAAACACAAAGAAAGGCAATGAACTGCCCACCCATCCCCAGAGGAGCAGTGGCATCCTTCATGCCAGCAAGAGACCGAGCTCTGCCTGAGGACAGGGGTGCAACTCATGACAGCAGCACAGTGAGATACGGGAGTGGGAATGGGGAAGGACCCCCAAACCTCCCCCTGGGGCCCAGGCAGCAGGGACACAGTGACACTCTGTGCCACGTGCTGCTGGCACTGCCCTCAGGTACCCAGAGTTCCCTTTTCCACCACTAAAGGACACAGGAGCACACAGGGCTCTGCAGCCACACCACCACGAGACTAGTAAGCTGCCAGCCCGAGGGAGCAGCCAGCTGGGAACTGCAGCAATGAACTTCCCCCCTTGCCTGGGATGTGCAAATTTTAAGGGAAAAGGAAAAAAACCAAACCAAAAAACCACAGTATAGTGTTTCCTAACTGAGATATGGTTAATGCCCAGCCCTACGGACGGCTTGGCACCCACCACAAGGTGCTGGGGCCATGAACATCTCACAGCTTTGGAGTGAAGCCGGGCGTTGGACACAGGTACCAAAGTGGGTGGCCACTCCCAGCTCTGGTACCCAGCAGGAGCTTGAGGCAGGAGAGGGTCTCTCAGCCTAGGGAATCACCACAGGTCAGCTTTTCACATCTGAACAGGTACCAAGTCCTGGACATTCCCCACGAGAGCAGCCTGACAGCAACTAAGAGCAGCTACAAACCCCTCTCCTACCTGCAAGCTGATGGAGTGTAACCAGTGTTTACATTCTGCCTCCTCTACACTCCAACAGCAGCCAAGTGCATGTGAAAGGACAAGTCTAAATTAACATAGTGCTTAAACCATTAGGGAAGGTGGGAGCAAAGGAGAAGAAAGCTGTGGACAGCACAAGTAGCCTGTGGTAGGCTACTGGAGCCTGAAGGGAGCTCAGAGCACACCTCAAAGCCTTGACCTTCCTTCTCCAAGGAATTCCCAAGGCAAGTGAGCTGGAAGTCCATGGGTGCTCCCTCCACTGCAGTCTGAAGTGGGCTAGGAGGGCCCTGCACATTCACAGTTGCTCCAAGCCCTTGTCCTGCCACCCTCCAGATGCCAGCTCTGTCCTCTTCTTGGGGCTCACAGTTGCCTTCTCCTCCCTTTGATTTCCCTTGAAGTTCAAATTCAAGTACAACCAGTGTTAAACTGAATGGAAAGAAACCCACAAAACCAAAGTTATTTCCTGTGAAACGAGTTAGCAGCGTTGTCCTAGTCCAACTGGCCTGCACAGGCCCTGGTAGGGCCGGGGTGGGAGTGCCCCTTC